TCTCTCCCTTTTTCTTTTTTAAAATAATTATTATAAAACAATATATTATTTGCATTCCTCGATCGATTTCCAGTATTTCAGTATTTCGCGAGATTTAGTATAAGATCAGCGAGGCTTTTCAGTTTCTCGCATCGTACAATTTTATTTGCCCCCGTGAGCATTCAAATTAAACGACACGATTAACATATTTAAACGCCAAGATAAACCAGAATAGCTCTATTTGCCGCGAGTGCAATTCCAGTGTGCGTTAAGCAACGCTGCGACGTCGCGAGTAACGCGGGGTTAATTAACGTCGGCACGAAACGCGGAAGATTACGGAGGGCGCGAGAGGACGTATCTTTCAGCTCCGTTCTCGCTCTTATCAAAGCGGAGGGCCCTTCTTGGCGGCGAAGTAGAGCCTGCACGGATCTCCTCAGGCCAAGCGGGTGGGAGGATGTGGACGAGATAAAAAGCTGTGGTAGGGCGTTTTCTATACCCGGTAATTAGAACATCCGTTGATCACGCGTGTGTACGTGGGCCCGGACGCTCCACGTCAATGCACCCCAGGTAGGTCATCCGAAATAACGTTCTTACTCTCCTCGATAAACGTCCCTCTTTCTACGTACATACATACACACACACACACACACGTAACGCGGAGATCGGCGGATCTGCGAAAGAGGCTCCGAAAGCGTGGCACTCTGCGGGATCACCAGCGACCTTTGACGCGGCTCGCCTTTGTCCCCTATCAGCGGGACGGTCTTTTTTTTTCAGATCATTTTTCGTTTCGAGGAAATCCTCTCCTGACGATGTCTTTTGCGGGAGGTCTCGCCACTACGACGGCGAGAAATGCGATCGTCAACGAGCGAACAATCGACGCGATGAAGTTGTACTCTTGTAGTACAATGAAGACCTCGCCCTAGGTCTACAATTGATCCCGCGGAGACCGCATTCCAATGTGTACCTTCTAATTGTCTCCCTCCGATATCGCGTCGACGCTTTCGCAACGTTTTCGAACGTTTCTCTGAACCTTGTCGTTTCTTTCCTTTTTCGATCTACAGCTCGCCAGTGCAGCTTCGATGTTACCGCGTCACAGATGAAGCTGACGTTCAATAAACGATTTTGGAACGCGTCATTTTATCGACAACCGAATAACACGATGCCATCGAGGTTTTTTGCCGTGTGCACGGTCTTTAATAGGATTTCACTGCTTCCTCTCGTCAAATATTTCGCGAGGACAGACTCTCGTTCGCACGACACTTTACGTAAATCAGCATTGTATGAGAAAACACCTCCAGATAATGGGAACATCTATAGACCTTCGATGATATCGCACATACACGTTTAATGATATTACATTGAAACGTCTCGATAATTAAAATTAATATTCACAGGTATATAAAACGAGTAAAACTCATATTACAAGTAAATAACAAATATTCTCTTTCTGCCTCTGTATATTAGAGAAAAGTCTAGTACGAAATAGGATTCTAATACGAGATAGCAGGTTTTCAACGTTCAAATTCAATCACAAATTTTCCCTGGTAGAAATGTAATTCATTTTTTGAGCAGTTACTAGACAGTTGTATTAACTTTTGTCCAATAACTGAGAAGTGAAACTACTTGGAACTCCAATCAAGATTTAACGCTTTTCTTACAGTCACTGTACATAAAAGATGCGCAAGATCTGAGCTCACACCCTCAGAAAGGATTTCTGTTACCGAGACAAAAATATTCTTGACGCATTTATATTTCGCACAACCTTATTTAGTATAAAAATAAGACCATATCAAAATAAAATCAATGATTCCTATTCTCCTCTATCGAATTAAAAAAGATTGACTTACTATATTGAGACCAGAGTAACTTATATAAATGTAAGTTTATATATACTTGCGTTTAGAATAAATTTTCCCTCCATTTTGCGATGCACGAAGTTGGCAACACAATATTCGACAAAAGACGATACATATTATCATTTTATTCTAGATGTTAGAATTTTTCATTTAAGATTAAAATATTTCTTTCTCTATAATAAATATGACTGGCGCTATATCGATCCTATTTTATGATACATTGAACTGTAACAGCATTGGATCCGGAATTTTTTTCTGTCGGTGCAATTACTGAACAAAAACAAAACAATGAGTATTTTAATAAATAATGATCTGTTAATACTAGACAATAACTGGGCAAATGTCCAAGCAAACCGCATATATTTTTACCAGGAAAACTGCCTCAGCACTGACAAATAAAACTCTATCGAGTTCTTGTCCATTTTCTATGCGGTATCGTTAGAACTAAGGAGAATGCAGTAATACTAGACAGTAGCTGGAGGGGTATCCAAAGGAACTGCATACATTTCCTATCAGGGTTTCTTTCGCAACGATTACACGATCTAATAATCAGTTTTCCAGTAAAAAGACTTCACCCCAAGGGCAATAAATTCATGGCGGAACCAACAGAGATAATGCCACTTAATTTATTGAAATAAAACTTCTTGTTGATGCAACTGGTAATATAATTAATTAAGTGTTACAATTGGTACGACGTTTCGACCCAAGTGTCAGGTCCTTATCAAGTAACCGAACTGCAAAGCAACATGTCACAAGTTTTGAAGGTGGTAAGAAATTACAAAACACAAGAGTGTACATAAATAAAAGTCACCTCGTGCATAGATGCTCGCAGAGCATAAATTATAGCAGACTCACGGGTCATTGTCCAATTAATTTAGCAGAAACTCCGCTATCCCATTTTAAGAGCCTATCTCATAATAGGGGACTTTCCTCTATGTATGTCTTGCATAATAATATCAAGATGAAATAAATCATAGAGTTCATAATATATAAAGCAAAAAAAAGAAGGAATGGAATTATTTTATTTCATTGCATAATATATCTGCTCTCTAAAAGTCAATCAGTGGACTATTCACTGAAAACGGTGAATAGTCACTGATTCACAGTTACAAGTATGCCACTGATTGACTTTCAGAGAGTGGAGATCAAGCGCAAAAGTTTTAACGAGTACATGTGCCAATCGAGTAACCATGGAGGATCCTCAAGAACTTCGTCGATCATCCAAGTGCATTTTCCTTCTCGCTTTCTTTCGACTTCCTCGTGTACCAAGTCTGACTCGATTCGCATATTTGACTTTTCATCGGAGTTTTTATCGCGAATAAATTTGTAACTCGGGCGCAGAATTTCATCTCTCGGTGCCGCGTGTCTCGTAAATCAGTCCGCGTGGTGTGCAGTCAGCTCCCGTGCTTAAAGCAGGGGTTGCTTTTACCGCGCGGCGTTACCTGCGGCCAACAGTTTCAACGAAATCACGGAATAAGTACGAAGGACAAGCAGGAAATTTCATAAGCACCTACGGACAGCAATACGAGGTGTTTATGGGGGCGAGCGAAGACACGACGGGACAGTCACAACACGATTTCGAAAAATCTTTACCGCCACTTTCGTAGCGACCACCTTTCACGTCGCCTTTTCGAGGATACCTGTGGTTTCCAGAGAAGGCGATACCACCCGTAAGACGAGAGAATACCACCCGCAAGACGAGAGGCTACCACATTTTTAGGTTTTCGGAGAAGGTTTCCGAGAGATATTTTTATTTGTGCCGAAGTCCTCTTTTTATTCGTAAAAGAGGAATTGTGGAATCATTATACATATATCAAAGATAGAAAAAAGACAGGGCGGAATATGCTTGAAATAGAATAAAGATTAATAAATTTGCTAAATTAACAAGCATCATCTATTGGTTCCACCATGAATTTATTGCTCTAGGAATGCGATCTGTTTAGTGGAAAATTCATCGTTAGATCGTGTAATCGTCGCGAGAGAGGATTTGTGATTGAATCTGTACGTTGAAAGTCTGCTAATCTCACGTAAGGGTGCGTATACGCTACGACGAATGAACGGCGAACACGAATGTTCGGACGTTCGTATTCGTATTCGAATCCCGTCCACACTGCGCACGAACTTTCGACTCGGACCGAAGGCGAATCGAACACTACCGATAGTTCAGTTCGCATTCGCTGCGGTGTACACATCTGTCTAATTCGCTGTTTGTTCGCCGTTCGTTCGCCGTTTGTTCGCCGTAGTGTATACGCACCCTTAGAGGCCTGTCTCATAATACAAAATATATTCAAAGTGATACGTAAAGAAATAGACAGTTGTATTTTTCACAAATATTACTATTTAATTTTGTCAATCATTTATTAGCAAATAAATGAGTGTACAAAATTTTACGGAATAATATATTATAGATGATTAAGGGGATGCTGGAGTGGTTTGATTTACCGACAGAGTCGCATACAGTTTTTGGAAGTTTGTAAAGAAACGTAACCTCAATATGTCATATTATACATATACAAACGAAAATAATTATGTAGCATTTATGTACAAACTAATACCAGACCCAAGTGTAGAATGCATAGTAGAACATTTTCATATAAAAAACATTGAGGTTTGAAGTCTAATTCGTATCGCATTATGTATTGCAATATTTGTAATACATAATGCGATACGAATTAGACTTCAAATCTCAATGTTTTTTATATGAAAATGTTCAACTATGCATTCTACACTTGGGTCTGGTATTAGTTTGTACATAAATGCAAATAATAAGATTTACAAACGCAAAAACGGTATCCGACTCTGTCGGTAAATCAAACCACTCCAGCATCCCCTTAATACGCGAATATCGATATTGATATTCGCAAATGTGTTAGGTCCGGTACAGAGGGGAAAAACAGCTCGGGTGGAAAATATAATCGGAGAAAAAGAAAGTGGACTATAGTTGAAAAGAATTAAATGTCATAAAAATGATACGGAATATTAAATAATTTAATTAGATTATCGTTACTTCGCCTTTTTTTGTAGTATGGACTGCGGGGATTCGAGTGGGGTTTTTGAGAGTTTGCACATTTCCACGAGTAATATCAGTTATAATTTTCCTTTTAAAAGCCGCGCAAATGATTAGCCACCCATTAATACCGTCGCTATTTAAATATGTACACGTACCTGTCGTGGTTTCTATCTAAAAGCGCCGGGGTGCTGGACGCTTTGATCCGCCGCTGAGCTTTGCTGAGACCGGGAATTCGTCGTCTCTCCTTCCCGGCGTGGCCACTCGTTCTGTAGTCGTGCAAAGGCTGAAACAAGATAGGTTAAAAATCAGATGAGATACGACTGAGAATGCAAATGTTAACAATCAACTAGAGCGGTGAAGTATCGAATGACCATCCAGAGATAATCTCAGAGTAGCATTGTTTCTCAATATAGAATCCCTCCTGGTCCACCCCCTAATACACCTCGGTAGAGGAGAGTCCCCTATTATGAGACAAGTTCCTAATATGAGATAGCGGGGTTTCTGCTAAATTGGTTCCACCATGAATTTATTGCTCTTGAAATGAGATCTGCTTAGTGGAAAATTCCTCGTTAGATGTAATCGTCGCGAGAGAAGATTTGTGGTTGAATTTGAACGTTGAAAATCCGCTAATCTCACGTTAAGAGCCTGTCTCATAATAGGGGACTCTCCTCTATGTCGGAAAGGGTCAGGTTTATGTTCAGTGCGCGGGCACACTTAGCATCGTATTATCGATGACAACTGATAACCCCCGCGAGAAAGTTGCGTTACGTATGTATATCTTTCCCACGATTCTACCGGGCACGCACGAATGCGCTTGATCATTCGTGTCTTTGTGTCGGTATCGAGCTATGCCTTAGCCGGGTTACCGGGTCTAATATTATGTTGCTAAGCTTCGCCGCAAGTGGGTTACCAGGCAACCGGTTTTATTTAAAATCGGCGGTTCGTCGTATCGTCTACCTCTCATCGTCTTCCTCTCCGCCGTGCTTGATAAACTGCAAATTGCAATTGAATTGGACTTTATTTATGGCTCTTCACTGTGTTATGCAGCGACCATAAGGAATAATTACTCGTGGAAATACGAGCGATGATAAATCACGCTACAGGGAGTGTATCGATGATAAGCTCATCTAATGAATTAAACGGTATTTTTCGTCGAAGGCGGAAATAATCTCTTCATTATATATTAAAATACACGATACGGACGATAATCATCGCTTTCACGACGCAGTGTCCGGCTATAAATTATCGAACCGCCATCGCGCTATCGGACGCCGTCGTATCACTGCACCTTATCCGTGGTAGTCGACGAAAGCGTTGATTTCGCGGTTTCTGCCCATCCTTTCACGCGTGCCTTCGCGTTGGGCGGGCAAGGGAAGAGGTGCAAACGGTGTCGAGCCACAAAGGTTGATTATATTTCCGCAGCTGCCTCGACACTGCGCGCGACGTTCTACTAATTAAGATTCCCGCGCGACGAGAAATTTACGCACGACATACCTATATACGCGTATATAAATGTAGGATAAATCTTGCTAGCGCGAACTTCAATCGCCGACACCCCTCGAATCCGTCTCGCTTTAATCGTACTCGATTCAAACGGAAAATTATGGAAATTTCGTGCCACTTGGCTTTTATCTCGATGGAAATTTCGTTTAACGCTTTCGCGCTCTACGAAATTTGAATATCTGTCAAATTATCAGTGATGCGAGGTAATTAGCGCTGCATGAATCTAATTACGTTATCTAAATACCTTTTGTATATTTGCGTACGTAACTAATTCTCACTACTTACTTCTCAACTGAGTAATTAGTTATGTTTTATTTCGCATCAAATTAATATTAAGGAGTCTACTTCATCCGTTTGCACTGTGCAATTATTAAAATATTTAAGGTGGCTCCTGCATAAACCGACCAAAAATAGAAAAAAATTGAAATTTAAGTATGTTCGTAGTTGTAAATTTTATCTATCAGTACGCGAAATTTCAGATCCGGTCGCCGATGAAATAAAATAAGAAAACATGTTAAAGTGACAGTTTTAATCTCTCTTCGCTTTTTTTTTATAAAGATGACTGTTCCTGGTTTTGTCTTTATGCGTACTTTAATCGCGTGAAAGAATCTTGCAATTTTATAAAGACAATTTCAAATTTAGTTAGAACTACGAATTGAAAATTTCAAATACCAATATCTTTATTACTAGACTTCTGAACTGAATGTTTTAAATATTCCAAAATTGTGAAGGCTCCCAGAAGAAAATTAAGGAAGGAAAAGTGCCAATGTGAGCCACAAAATGAACGGATCTCAGTTCTCACAGTACGAATTAAAATTCTCTCTTTAATGGTATCAAGTATAAATACGTTTCGACCCTTCTTCGGGTCTTCCTCAGTTAGACTACAATGTGAGAATTATACACTGGTAATATGGTAATACTTATGCAATAACAAATGTAGAAAAAACCGGTTACCTCGTGTAACTTCAAATTATCGGACAGACTCATATCTTAAACTGTTAATCAGTCGATCTCTAGATGGTCCCAGACATAAAGAGGCTGAATAACCGTGATTCGAAAGATGAGTCCGTGGCAACGATGTTAGTAAGACTGTGACACAGCGGTATTACGAAGCGAAAATTTGACATTAAAGTGTGGTAAACATGACGGGGGAACATAGACCTGTGTCTCAACTTGCTTATTTTTCTGGCGCAAAATTTAAAGCCTTAAACCAAGTTATATAATGTCGACTCTAGCGGAGTATAACAAATCGCACAGAAACTAATTGGCAGGAGTTTCGTCAATTCTATAGGATTGTAAACTTGTCGTGTCCAGAAATAAAATTAAAAAGTAAAGAATTAGTCAATTCTGTAAGAAATTGTAAAATTGTCAAATCGTGGTATAAAATTAAAAAGTAAAATGCAAATCAATTCTAAAAAATTGTATATGTAAAATTATGTAAATCTCGAAATCGCGAAATAAAATAAATTGGTAATGGAAGTCAGTTATATAAAATTGTGTGAATGATACGGTCAAGATAAAAAACACAAAAGTGTTAATGCAATAAATAAATAAATAAATAAGAAATAAAATAAATAAATAAATAAATAGGATAACGTCAAACTCTACTCAATTCCTGGATGATTGTATTATACCCGTCGCCGAGGAGATCGGTGTCGTTTTGTAGGTTTAAGCTATTCGGTTGGCGTTTTATACAAATCATTTCTGAGATGAGTCGTTTATAAAGGAATGGTTCTTCATCCAAGATATCAACATTTTCCCAATCAAATTCGTGGCCTGAGTGTCTGTGTTCAGTGATTACCGATAGTTGGTTGGTGTTTCTATTAATGTGTCTGCGGTGTTCTTTAATCCTCGTAGCCAAAAGTCTGCCAGTCTGGCCCACGTATGAGGCGTTGCAGTTTACACAGGAAATTTTATATACTACGTTATTGTGAGAGGGTGTTGGGAGTGGGTCTTTATGTACTCTGATAAATTCACTTAATTTGTGGAGGCCTGTGTAAGACACTTTTGTGTTCAGATCTTGGACCACATGCATGAACTTTTCAGATACGTTGGGTATATACGGGATGTTGAAATATCTGCCCTTTTCATTGTTAGCTGTATTAGTGTTGGTGTGTTGGTGAATGTTTTAAGTATGAAAATGTTCCGCTATGCGGTCCGCAACTTATCCTGGTATATTATTTTGTGCATGAAGCTAATAAAAAGAATTACAAGCGCAAAAACTATATTTGACTGTGTCGGTAAAAAAGATGGCTGAAGGATCCCCTTAAGTAGTGATGCCAGCCATTGAAACAAAATTCGGTAAGCTATTTATAAGACAAGGTTAGATTTTGACGAGTTGCATTTTCGCAAATAAGCTTAAAAATATATACATATATACAACCTTGTAAATAGCCTACCGAATTTTGTATCAGTGGTTGGCATCGCTATACTTAACAATTAGTTAAGCTAACTGGCCACTGTTGAACTGGGCCTAAGTGATAAATATAAAGAGTTCCAATCTTTGCTACACACGTACAATTCTGAAATATTTACATCGCGTGTATCTCTTGCAACGCTGCCAATTGTGATGTCGACTATTCGTCCCGTTAAAGAGTCTGTCGATCTGAACCCGCGATTCTGTTCAACTCTCCGCGGGCCATCCTGTACAAATGTACACACAGCGTTCGCATTCGAGATTTTATCATCGCTAGAAGCATAAATTAACCAGCTACACCTGCTGAGAGTGTGCGACGCGCACAACGTGGGGACTTGTCGCTGCCGAGACGTCTGCTTCCGGTTATATGTATAAGCGCACCGCGGATAGCGTCAGTTCGACACGATACGTCGGACGTTAACGAGCACGACTGTCGTCGCTGCGGATGATGCATGTAGGTCGTCACCAGCCGGTCGCGGTATACCACAGTCGCGTGCAGCGCGATGCAACCCTACGTGCAGCTACCGCCGAGACGTCACCGGCATCGGGGCCATTGCTCACGCGCCGCCGATCGATGATCGCTTCCGCGTAGTCAGTAATTACTCGGATCGGGGGAGTCTGCGAACCTGCGCCGCGCGGGATTCGCGTGCCGCGAATATTTAGACCGGTTTTCCGCCGGATGAAATATCGCGGTTTCCTGACGCGACGTCACGGCGGAAATGCCGGGTCCTAGGGAGAAATAGTCGGCAGTGATGAATGGAATCGCGAGTAATATACAATATGTTAGTCCTCAGCCCTGGGGACCCCCGGATGCAGTGAACCAACTACCTCACGATCGAGTCTCAGAGGACATCCAAGCGCTTACCGTCAAGAGCAGTCCTCAGGAATACATTGCGAGGAAAAAATTACGAAGCGTGCTGGCGAAAAAACGGAGTTGCCCAGGTTTGAGATTAATAGACGATTGAGCCTGTTATTGGCAGAATTGAAAATTTCTCTATTTACTTCTGACGAACGACGTCCTGCGCCAGTCTGCGTGGCGGAAAATAAACGGAATTAAATCAGTGAGCGTTGCATTGGCTTATGATGCATTGGCGTATGATGGGATGTCCAAAGGTTTCCGGGATTATTTTATTTTTAATAGAAGAAAGCCCCCTATTATGAGACAGGCTCCTAATACAGCGGAGTTTCTGCTAAATTAACAGGGCATCATCTGTTGGTCCCACCATGATATTATCGCCTTTAGAGTGAACTCTGTTTAGTGAAAAGTTGGTTGTTAGATCGTATAATCGTTTTTCTTCCTTTAACGCAACGCAATCTCATTTCAACATTTTCACGTTAAAACTAAACACATTTTCACAAGAAGAATTTTTTTTCTGTGTGGCGGCACTTAACAGCATTCTGGAAGAGGAATTTAGACAGTGTTTCCTGAAGTGGGGGAGACGCTCGAATTGTTGCATCAAGTCACACGGAGCACTTTGAAGAGGATTAAAGCTTCAGTGTACTTGTAAGTACACTTGAAATATTTTTTATAAAGTAATTCCGGAAACTTTTGGGTACCCCCTGGTATGCTGTGCACGCGGAAGATTAGTGGCGGCGCCTGAGGTCTGCTTAATTAAGCCCTAGAATGTCTCATTGACTACGGGCCATAGTAACAAGTTTGCGGCTTTGCGACGTTAAACAAAGCCGCCTTGCGTCACGATTTACCGTATTGCAGCCACTAATTGCGCTCACATTCTGTGCGTATATTCATTACGGTATATAAAAGGTTCTTTTTACCGCTGAGTTATTTGTAAAAAAGTCCAGCGGGCTGTGTTTAAAAAAAATTCGAAATTTTAATCTTAAACTAATAAGAATTCTTCAATGTCGCCAGCGATAATTAACACCGTCAGTGTTTTCTTGAACATACCTGGTATTTTTTAAATAATACAGAAAACATCTTTATACTGTTATTGCGACAATTATTATCATATGCCTCGGTGGTCGATTTGGTGAGACGCTCGCCTAGAGTGTAAGGAGGTCCAGGTTCAAACCCCGGCTGAGGTAATATCTTTCGCAATAAATTTTCTGTATTGCTAAAAAAGTGCCAGGTATGGTCAAGAAAACACTGGCGTTTCTAATCTTAAAGTTGAGAAAACATCGATTCATCCTCGCGAATTTTTAAGAAAGAAAGAAAGATAAATTCGTCATCGCGCCGAGGCCCTTTGCAATCTGAGACAATGCGCCTTTCTTACGCGCGCCGTAATAGCGTTCGAGGATCGAAACTTTTGTCCGCGCCTGGGGAATAAGTACGCGAGGAGAAAATGCACCTCGGCAGGTGAGTTAATTTATCAAACAATACCGGTTATTTATCGCCGCGTCCGCCAGCAACAATGTATTCGATCCGACGTAGATGACGCGGGGCCATTGTTATTCGACGAGGAAAAAGAATATCACTCTTCCGGGAGGGGCGGATCAGGAGACGCCAAGTGTATATAGGAATATAGCAACCCCGGAGAAAGAGACGTTACGTACAGTGCATTCTTTACCGGAGTAACAAATCGTTCCGGACACAAATGCGACACATAAATCGATTTCTCGAACACCAACGAGGACGGTGCCGCTCCCCCCCGTCCTCCGGATCGTCGGCCCAATTAACTTTGACAGAAATATTCGAACGGGTCGTCCAGCTTCTTCCTCTCTTCCGAAGGTATTGATCGCGGAATATCGAAATGACCCGCCGCTCCGCCGTAATTTCATTACCCATTATTTTGAGTATAATCACTTCTCTCTCTCTTATAATATACTTCAACTACTCTTTTAATAGCGCAATTACTTCATAACGCTGTAATAATAATTATAATTACGTAATTATATAATTCTCGGTTAATTGCTGCAATTTTTCTATTAACTTACCGAAACGGGGGCTGTGTGAGACGCGGCCGCATCCTGCGCGCGACGTAGCCTGCTGGGACTAGGGCTGGATCGCTGGGATTCGTGTCCCCGCTGCCAGGATGTCGATCTGCTGCAACAGACAAACAGGGGAACTCGATTATTCTCGCTGCAACGCTACGACGGTTTGCGAAGAAGACAAAAGAAAGGCCAATAGTTTATCGCAAGCTGGCGGCCGAAAGTAACACTTGACGTAACTTGAGAAATCCTTTGTAATTATCGAGGTCCTTCGGAGACACGGACACGCGTATCGCGTCGTATCTCTATCTCCGCGATGACGTAATTAACGCAGGCGTTATTTGATTACACCTGAGTGATTCAAAGACTTATTCATCTCGCGAGCGAGACCCTTACGCTCGCAGTAGAATCGCGTACATGTGTACGCGCGGTGAGTAACGTTATCTCAATTAATTCATACGCAGGCTTATCGCGCGTTATCGGTATCGGATTGCAGCGTGTCCGACGGGCGCGATGCGCCACGCCGGTGATTAATCAATAAACACGGCGCGGTACGTCGCTTGAATCTTAATTAATGGGTTTGGAGGAGCAGGGCAGAGCCGGGCGGGCGCAACATACGTCTCGGGGTGTGCATCTCGTTATCTTAGTAGGTCGCGCTCAAGCGCGGTATACTGTGCATTTGTTGTACAAGACCGGGATATGCGGGGTCTCGTGTAATAAAATTGCGCTAAAGTAATTCGCGCGCTCGGTGCAATAACGCGGAAAAACGGTTTCGCGCTTCGCAATCGCCGCGTTAGTGGCGTGTGCACGCTGCATACCGTATTCGTTTTAGTCAACGCCAACTTTTTCCAACGTTACAGCACACGTGCCGTTTAAAAGGTACAGTTTAATACGTAAATCGCATGCCATGGGGAGAACCACCGATTTTCTCATTATTCCATTTTATTTTAATATGTTCCCCCAGCTGTAGCCTCTTTTTATTAATCAAGGAATTTTCAAGGCGGATAGGCGAGTAGCCAATCTCTCCACGCTCAATTTTCAGCGTCGGACTCTCCAATTTTATTCATAACATTACATAAAGATTATAGCGGCTGCGGCATATCTTTCTGGAAGACTTCAATGATAACTTGACCATGTCTGGCAATGTTAAGAACTCGTCGCACATCTAACGCTGCGACTGACATAGCTATACTTTTAGAGAGTTGAAATGAATTATGGTTCAGGTCCTGAGTCGACAATGCCACTCGCTAGCTCAGGAGCGTAGTTCAAAGTTCGCCTGGGGTCGGAATCTACCCCACAGGTACGTTCTAGGGTTAATACTCATAAAACTCACTCGTTCTAGGGTTAATACTCATAACTCACAACGTTTCGGCCACGGTTTGTGGTCCTTTTCAAGTGATATTGTAACAAATCTTCAGTGTAACAAATTAAAGGAACAGAGCTTAGGTTCACGAGAGGCAGAACATGACTGGTCGAAACGTTGTGAGTTACCAACATAAAAATCGACAGACATGGTCAAGTTGTTATTGAAGTCTTTTAATTATTACTGGCGACATCGAAGACTACCCCTTGTTAGTTTATTATACACCATATTTTTTTAGGACAGAATCTACTCCAAAATCGTCCAAGGACGAATTTCGTTCAACGCTTTCAAGATATAAGGAAACGATCGAAAGTTTGTTAGAAATGAAGAAAAAAAGTTGTTAATAAATTATTATACTAAATTTTCTACTACTACTCGTTAAAGAAATAATTTCAGTGCAATTTTATATAAAACAGTAAATTTTAGTAATTTACTTTGCGTCGTGCATTATATAGACGTATCGCAGTTTGTAAAGCACGTGTTATGAATGAAACGGAAGTGTTGCAATTAATAAAAATGCAGTTCTCTCGAATGGGGAGGGGGGGACTCGTACGATTCGGTCGGCATTGTTTGCGGCCCCTCGGACCGCTCGGACGAGGAAAACATTTTCGTAATAAATTACGGCGGGGCGCACGGCTTATCGTCCTGACGCGATAATGGGTGCGATGTTGTAAGTTATGGGGTCAAGGGTTGCCAGGTACGATTTGTACCAACGTTCGTTTCGTCGATAACCCCTTCTCACAAAGACGGCGATTAATCGTCCCGATTGTCGTGCCGCGAGACAATGATCTCGGGTTACGTATCACACGTAGCGCGCAGCGACGCAGTGGGTCCGACTTTCTACTCCGAATCCGGCGACGCGTGCGCGTGCTGGACCGACGCAATTTCTAATCTCCCCGCGACCTGTTCGCGGGCATCGAGCTCGTCGCTTCCGCCGATTGCAAATTGCGGGAGCTCTTGCAATTCAACGAGCGATGCGTTTGCTCGAGCCATCGATCACGAGTCTTTTCCTCCAGCGCGAACTCGTGAAAAGGGAAAAATTTCATTAGCGAGTTCGATATTATACGTCAATGAAGTTTTCCACTTTTCACGACCCACGCTAGAGGAGACCCAGTCGGAAATGACAAGGGGGTAACAAATATAAGAAAATTATTTGCAATTAGATGAAATTATTTGTAACCGGATGAAATCGTATGAAATCATGTAATCGATGGGACAACATTTTACCCCCTTGGGAAATGACTCGCCGATCGACGTCGAAACGATGTCGAATCGACGTCAATCTTACGGTCTCGACGTTGATCGACGAGTCATTTCTGACTGGTAGGGATTCGCGATGAAATCCCTCGTCGTAGATTCTGGAAACTGAAGAAGTCGGCCCGCGCCCGCGAGGAACGCCAGCCGCTCGCGATAATCTACGAAGGTCGAGGACGTGCGCGCGAGGAAGAGAGAAGCGGAACTCGAGATCGCTCGGTCCCGTATTCTCACGGCGCTTCATTATTCGCGGGCAAATATACCTCGCGACGTCGCCGTGCTAGAAACCACCGCAACGACAGGTACGACGTGCCGATCGTCAAACGGTGAAAGGCGATAATAAACGCCGCGGCGCGAGCGAAGGAACGAGTGCACTCACGTCGTCCGCGTTGCTCAGGGAGGAAAGGCGAGCGCGAGGAGAGAAGAAAAGAAAAGAGCCGATGAAAAGAAAGTACCTCCCCGATGACGGTCGCGAATAGCTGACATAGTCGGCCGACTACGATCGAAGGCGGGTCACGGCGCGCTCTTAGGCACCTGAGAGTTCATCGATTTATTCCACTTTCTACGCGCGGCACCGGCCGAAGCGGAATCATCCTTGCTCGCGCGATGGGAGCGGCCGCGAACCGTCGTCCGCGGAACGGACGAGATTTACTTAACCCCGTCGGGGATGAGCGACGTGCGGCTCTCGTCCTTTTGCGAAAGATTGGGTCTCGATATGTTGACTCTCCTCCAATCCTTCCCTCTTTCTCTCTCTACTCCCTGTACGCTGTCATGTTAACCTTCTCCGTTCGAGAACTGCCGGCAGGAAGGCGAAGCAGGGAGGCGTCTGCGAGAGCCTCCTTTAACCTTTGCTTATAATTAGCTGTACGATCATAATGTAAGACCAACGTCAAATCGGTTTCGAAGATCAGCTATGAATGGCTTACATTGCTAGAAGTAAAGGTCGTTCAACTTGCGCTTGTCCCATAAATATTAATAGATTTGTTCTCGAGTAACATATATAAGTAAAGTTTTACAAATACGCGTGTATTTTCATTGCGATGATGGTAACAACTGGATTAATAAGCGTTCAAGTAATTAATTCAACAGTTTGCCAGAAATTCACCTAAAATTATTGATTTCTGAAACATTCTTCACAACCGCAAGAGACGGTCTTCAATTTGAAATCTTGCTTTTCTCCAATTGGAGACCGTCACGTTTGATTGTTCAGGCAAATTGACTCGAAATTAATTCGGTAGATTAACAAAATCAGATTCGACAAGCTGATAAATTCAGTCTGACTTGCCGAAAAGCGCTTGATTAATTGCACATCTCTGTCTGCACTTGGGCGTTTGCATCAGTCTAAGTTATTACCCCAAGGAGCGCCAATGCGCGTATATAACGTGCTTTAAATGTACATTTAAATTCGCACTTAATGCACGTATTTGTCCAGCATTAAACGCGCATTTAATGTATATTGTGGCAGCACATAAAAAAAGTGTACCATTGGCCTCCTATGCATAATTTTTCATGCATATGCATGTATAAATATGGAGAGTTATATAAAATTATATATCTCAAATATGCCCAAACATATGCTAAGTTCGCGCTTTTTGAACACACAATTAACGTTGTTTTTAAGCCAATGCAATGAAACGCGCGTTGAAAGCACGTTATATGCGCATTGACGCTCCTCGGGATATTATCGTTTGATATCCGAGAGCCCTTTTTATCCGCGAATTTTAATTGATAATACACATGCCACTCACATGCAACGCATACTCCTGGTATTTTTTTCTCGTGAACTTTTTCAAGATCGCGTGTCAAGACAGACATTTTGCGAGGTATCCATATCTGAAAGCTCCGCCGTAGGCAAATGCACGGCACGGTCGTGCCATTATGAAATACGGTACGTAAAAATTTGATGGATGATTACAAAAACGCGAACGACGGGGCGCGGGATCTAATATTTACCGTCTGGTACGTGGAACCTACGTCATCAGCCGCGTGGCACGATCGAAGGATATTGGCACGTCGTGCTCGGTATACATAAGCGGGTACCTGCGATACGTGCTCGTAACCAGGCGCGTACGGATCCTTCCCGCGGAAACGCGTCAATTTTTCGACGTGAAAAGCGCCCAACGCCGCCAGCGACACGTCCAAGATTGAGTTTTATGTCCCACGTTATGCCTCGCACACGTTGGACAAAGCAACCCTTAACGTTTCGTTGCACCCTCTTTGAGAGACCAAACAAATTTAAACATAAATTACACGGCATATTTACTTATTGTAAAGTCTACATATAAATCTAGTATTACTAGAGATACCAAAAGCAAAATAAACTGTTCTCTCTTTCCTCTGTGAAGGTAAGTACAGTGATGGACAGAGCGGTTGCAACACTGTTTTTTTAATCAATTTAGGGACGTGCATTTGGATCCAGGGTTACGTTACAAAATCTTCTTCTCCCAGGAATATTCTATTCGATGGCCATTCCGAAACCATTTCGAGCATTTCCG